AATAGAGAGCCCAGAAATTAATCCACACATTAACAGCTAATTGAATCTCAACAAATATTTCAAAAACACACAATGGGTAAGATAGTCTTTTCAATGAATGTTGATGAGAAAACTAAATATCCACATGTAGAAAAATGAAATTAGACATTATACAAAAATCAACTCAAAATGAATTGGAGACTTAGACATAGACCTGAAACTCTAAAACTAGAAGAAAAGCTCAATAAGATTGGTTTGATATGTATATATATATGGGGTGGTGTGTAATATATACATAGAGATATATATATACACTCACACATACATACACAGTTTTACAATAATATGGAGTAAAAATAGTTTGAAACACTATTTTATTTAATATATTAATACTGCATTATTATCTACTTTTGATTTAAATCAATTATTTTAATTTTAGTGTATTATTTTAATGCATTATTTAAATGTTTTGGTTTAAATCTTTTATTGGAAATATGATTTTCATCTCTCTATCAACTACTACTAACTTTATTATTACCATTAAGCATAGTAACAATAGCAATTATTATTTAGTAGTAATATAATATAGAAGTTATTTGTCAAGAACAGTACAAAGTAACTCCCTTACATTACTATAATAACCCTGTGATTTCTCAAGTCTCAATAAAAATTTAATTAAATAAAAATTTGCTTTATGTAATACATTAGACTAGGCATTTTAATGATATAAACACAAGATGCTGGTCAACCATGTGTAGTCAAATACATGGTTGGTCAGAGTCTTGTCTTTCCATCATTTTGACTCATGAAGCAATGCATTGCATAAACATAATAGGTGATAATAGACTATAGATAGAGAAATAGATAGATAAATAGATGACAGATGATAGATAACTTCACATGTTTTATAATACTACAATTCTAAATGATGCCAGAGAGAATGTTTATAGTGCTGATGTGTATGATCTATAAATTTAATAAGTAACCAAAATTTCATAAAAACATGGAAACTCTTCCAGAAATTAAATGTTCATATTAATACAGTCCTGTGAAAGAAAAAGTAAGAGTTAATCTACAGTTTCAGAGAGGTTGGTGCCTAGGTGAGATATTTCTAATAAAGTCTGGTAATATAAACAGAAAACATGGCTGACATACCTCTACATGTTTATGTCTGAACTTAAGTATTTGGAGTTGTTTGTATATTGACAATTACTAAATTATTTTTCTAATGAGCATATTTGTTATTTGTGCATTTATTCATTGCTAATTACTATAATGGATTTCTTCTATCATGGAGATTATGTTGCAACTTGGCAAATATATAAATATAAATATATATATATATATATGTATAAATATTTCTTCAATATAGTGCTCCAGAAAAAAAGTCTTCTGAGAAAATAAAATAAAAGCAAAACAACTTTGGGAGGCCGAGGCAGGCAGATCACGAGGTCAGGAGATCGAGACCATCCTGGCTAACATGGTGAAACCCCGTCTCTACTAAAAATACAAAAAATTAGCCAGGCATGGTGGCAGGTGCCTGTAGTCCCAGTTACTCGAGAGGCTGAGGCAGGAGAATGGCGTGAACCCAGGAGGCATAGCTTGCAGTGAGCCGAGATCGCCCCACTGCGCTCCAGCCTGGGTGACAGTGAGACTCCGTCAAAAAAAGAAAAAGAATAAAATGAATACAAAAATAAGAAAATAAGGATATATATATATGACAATAATATTTTTTATTATATTAGACAAGTGGCTACTGTAACTAGAATTTAAAAGATAAATCTCCAAACCATACAAATTGTTGCCATATTCAAGACAATATTTCTTTATGCTGAGCAAAATCTGTGTAGTTTTGACACAAAGTGTTTTAGCATGGTTAGAAGTATATATATTAGTGAGTATTTTTGTTATTGTTTCTTCTATCATTTTGCATTTTTTTATTCCCCATATTTATCATCGTGATATATGTTCAATGTTAAAAACAGAATGGAAAACACAGCAAATTGGACTGTTGGAAAAGAATATCATTTAATGGCAATCCATGGAGAAAATTACTATTTTTATTTTCAGCATTTTAAAAGCTATTTTACATGAATACCTAAGTGAACACTGGACATCTAGTTGGTTATCAACTACATTCAACCACTCCACTCTAATTTGGGGAAATGAATCTGTTTTTCTACCAACTAATTCTTTCTCTCAGGTTCAAGAATGACAATTATTTTGAGCTTTTCTTGTTGCCATTCTTTGTTCATACAAGGACAAGTGATCGTTTTGATGAATAAGACGAAAGTTCCAGTGTTTTTGAGGGCTTTGAGGAAAAGTTGGAGAACCAAACAGAGCCCAAGAACCTAGATAACTGACTGCAGGAGGAAGCCACTGGATCAACTAGCCCTTAACCCTACTTTCTTTCTCTATGCATACATTTAATTTCTTCATTATTCTATTCATTTGGATTTGATTTTGTTTGATTTTGCTATCTGCTTGCTAGTCAATAGATTTCCCACTGATATGGTGGTAGCATACAGTAAATACCTGTTTTAAATGTTTCTGTATTAACATATTATAAGCTTTTACCAAAACAACTTTAATATATTTTTAAGAACTAATATGCTTCCAGACGATGTGAGAAGGATGTGATCCTTAGATTATGCTATCCTCATTACACCTGATTGGACAAGGCCTAAATATCTAATTGAAGGTACATGTATAGCCTATGATATAAAGTAGATAGACTTAAACTTTCTGAATGTCCATTTTCAAGGGACAGACCAGAGCTTGCATAACATTTGACTTTCTATTTCTGCCTGCTCAGTTAGACTCATATTTCATTAGCCAGTCTTGTCTGCAGTTAGTCATTAGAGATACATTTCTTAATGAACTGGTTTAAAAAATTGATGGCTCTGAATTTTAATATTTGAATTCAAATTTTTATTTAGAGTAACTCAATAAAATCCTGACTTCTGCAACTTCAAGCTCTGCTCCTTAGCCTGCTGGCAGGTGATAACTGTGGAATGCCCGCAGACTGTATGTGAAAATAGACCAGAATGTCACTGTACAGCTATAAAACACCACTTGTGTTTCAGGAATTCTCCATCCTGCCACATGTTTACTGCTGTGGGGACCTCAGGTAACTCTGAGTATGATAACCCTGACTCACACATGGATAGTAGTGTATTTAATTTTGAGCCTCTGTTCTTATACAGTCATGTTTCACTTACTATGCATTACCCCCCATACATGAAAAAAGTCATATATATATATATCTATATATATATAATGTTATAAAGAAAATGATGTAGAAGTAATCCCTAAGCTTATCTGATGACCAGTCCCATAAGTACTGCCAAGTCTGCATTCTTGGTTGTGGCATAGCGGATGAAACTTGCTGGATCCTAGGCTATCGGCTGTTCATCTCATATCCTCTTCCAGGAAGGGCATGCATTCCTTAAGTAATTCACAGTAACTAGTGCCTGTACGTGTTTGATAATAGATGATCTGTTTAATAAAATCAGTTTGCTGTTAATGATATTCTACATAAAACATGTAGCTTCACACTGTACCTTCTTTAGACAATTGAATCCTGTCTCAGTGTGGTTTCTATACTTCTCATTGCTCTTTGTTGGTACTGTCATAATCAGGACAGCAAATGCTGACCCACCTTTGCTCCCTTAGGCTCTAAAATAAGCCCTTGGGACGTCATGTTTACAGGTGCACTGTGGTTGCAATCCTAAGTGTACCTGGATATTTTATAAACATTAAGGTATAAATTGGCGTCTCATAAAATGTTAGATTCTTACAGAAATCCTAGATTAGGTCATAGATAGAACAGTGACTTATGTAAATAAATATTTTAAAAACGTATCTCCACCTTTTTTGATACTGTAAAAAATACGAAGGGGAAAAGATATAAGAATACTTCAGAGGTTCTTTGTAAAATTTATTTTTTTCCCTATTTACTAACATCTTGAAACACCTAGAAATGTTTTTTTTCAACCTGAAAAAAAAACTTTCCACATTATCCTGTTCCTGCTATCCACAGATCTGTTCGCCCAGGTTCATCTCTTCAATATTTATTCATAAATTACTGATTCCTCCTAACATTCACAACCTCATAGGAGGTGCATTTGTGCATGTGTGTGCATGAATATGTATGTGTATGTGTGTGCACAAGTGCATGTGTGTATATGTGTGTGCTTGTGTATCTTAACTACTTTACTGCCCATATAGCTTTTGCCATTTCTTTCCTCAAAAAATAAGAGAAAATGAAAAAACTAAGAGGATAGTGACCAAAATATCTATCAGAATTAATAGGATGTTTGAATAATCCTGACCCACTTAGAATTTTTTTAAATAGGTATAATTTAAGAAACTTTTAATATTTTAATGTTTCTCTAGTTTGTTTCAAAAATGATTTTTAACTAAACAGCAGCTTGAGTAAACAGCATAGAGAATACATATGTATTTTATATTAAATAACGATAGCTTATATCAAAATCTAATTATAAATATGAATAAAATAAAACATTTTAGGTAATAGTAAACCAAGGAAAAGAAAATGACTTATTAAAATTAAAATTTAGACATTGCTCTCTCATTATGTATTTTACTTGATTTCTGAGGAGAACTGATCGAATTAAGAAATAGCCAGAAGGCATAGACACACAGTGGAAAATCATTTCCCTTTTTAGTAAGTTTTGTGTCTGCTTTAAATTGATCATTTGTTTCATCAGCTAATCCCCAAACAGAGGGCATGTCCTCTCTACTTACCAGATTCTTGTACATAAGTTGAATTCTGTCTTTATCAACTCAGGCCAATAAGTACTTTATTTTGTTTTTGCTTGTTGTTAGGGAAAAAAAAAAAAAAAAAGATAATCAGCTCATACTACTTGCTTAGCTGTCTGCATTTTAATTCCAGACTATGAACGAGCATCAGAGTGCCCTTATGATATTTTGCACAAAAGGCTCAGTGTTTATGACTCTACTCAGGGAACTCAAAATAGCATTCAGTAAGCAGTGACATACTGACAGCGTTGTGGTACTAAAAGCACAAGCTTCTGTAATTCCGGGCAATGGGGCACATCGAGAGTTTGCTGAGAAGACTGTGAAGCAAAAAGAAGAAAGTTTTTCCTACACTTCCTCATGTGTCCAACACAAAGTCTGCTGTTCAGTTTTCACAGACCTCCTAGAAGTTGAAGTTACAAAGGTAAGACTGTGATAATCAGGCATGTTATAAACTACATGCATCATCTTTAATGAGTCAATAGGTCAAAATGTACTTAAGTTGTTGCTAGGAAAATATTCTAAAAATATTAAGGAAAATATTTATATGGGAAATAGGGAAAATATTCTAAAAATTTTAAAAGCATGATGTGTAGTGAACTTTCTCAAAACAAATATTTGTGAGAACAATTCTCTGTCTCTGTAATATAGATTGTTGGGGTGGGGGGGAAGTTACACCTATGTTCGGATATTTAAAACTTCTCCAGTTTCTTAGAAGAAATGAATCAATCTTTCTTTGAATGTCTTTCTTTCTTTGCACATTTTTCTTTGTTCAGGGTTTTATTTATTATCTATCGTATATTTACCATGTATATCAGGTAATATGAACAGTAGAGTTGTCATCCTTAAGTACAAGAAGAAAAAAATATTTATATACAGAATAAATGTGAAAAAGTTTAAGTATATTATAATAATTCCAATAACATTAAAATATTAGCATTAATATGAATAAAAACACATATACATCTAAATTTGTACACACATATTAATTTGCCTATATGTATTATAACATTTATACATAACACAAAGGGTAATAATATGAAAGATAGTATAAATTAAGAAAAGTATAAATTAAGAAAATGGATACTGTAAAAGACATATTGTTTCAAATCTAATTTAGTACATGTAATTTTAATTGAATTAATATTTATGATAAAATATTTCAGAATAAGTTTACCAAAGGGATTTAATAAGTCTATTAAATATAAAAACACATGAAATATTTAGCAGCAAAAAATACCTAAAGTGGCAAAGGCTTTCTTCAGATTATGTCAATTTATATTTTAGCTCTATTAATTCATTTGTTGAATTAATACATCTGTAAGAAAGACATTATTTAGATAAAATATTTGAAAATTTAGTAATATATATTTATGTTTTAGATGTAGTTACAATATTAAGTAACATTACATGCATTAATATATTCTTTTTTTCAAATTCTTAATATTGTAATTAGCAGCATGCATACTTACTATAATTTTTAATTTGAAAGAATTTAAATTTCAATGTAATGTGAACATTTATATTGACCAAATAAAGTAACTAACAAATTTATTTTAAAAAGGAATAAGCATTTCATTATTGTCTATAGTTATTCAAAATTTTTAAGCAATCAATTTATGTCATTTAGAAACCACCAGCTCTCCTTTCCTTTACATATGTTTTCCACTTCACCAAGTCTTTGTAGAAGTGAATGAAATGCTTGTATCATTATATAAATATCCGATTTTTACAGTCTCACACATTAGTAAATTATTCATGCTCCAGTGAAATATTTAAAATTTTAGGCACACACATCTGCATATATCTAAAAGCATATGTCTTCTACTTATATTTTTTGTTTTGGTGTGTTTTTCACTTTGGAATGTTTGTAAGGTACATTTCCTTAAGAAACATAAAAACATATTTTGATTACATTATAATAAATTGAAGATGCTTTAAAATGATCTGCAGAGATGCCTCCTATGCATTCTTAAGAAACCAGATCCATCTTTCAGGAATTTCTCATAACAGAGCTACATATAATCTGATACATGATCATCTATAACTTAATATAAACTGACCATTTTTGCCATGCATGATCTTAGCATGTACTCTTAAATGTATGTTTAAAACGTTATATAGCAGTATTCAGCATGTTAGTGAGTAGTCATGCAATAGGAACAAATATGTTACACTGTTTACAAGGAGATATTGATCTTTCTATATATCTTCTTTTACATGAGAATGTATTGCTCCTCACCAAGAGTTTGAGAACCATGCTGGTGAATAAGAATTTGTTGTCACGATGATTTCCTTTAACATCCATGATCTTCTATCACCTGTATCTTTGCTTTGGTGAAACAGATTGAGGTTGAAACATAACTAAGTATGGAACCTAACAATAATCCCACAGGAATCCTTTCTGTCAATGGTGAAGACAGCCCCTGATTTACAAAATGGGTGTCTTTGCAAAAGATGTTTGCCACTGTAAAATCAAATCAAAACAAAACAAGATAAACTGCACCCTTTAAGAGTCTTTTTTTTTCTTTTTTTACCCACTCTCACCACCTTTCAATTGAGAGAATACAGCTAAATGTTCTAAAACCTGTCAAAATGTGTAACCAATCAATTTCCTTTTCAAGTGATGCCTACCCTCTTGAATATTCTGATACGATTCATTAAGAGAATGCTTGTCTGACTTTAAAACGTGTTCTAGAACACATACTTTTGTCAAAATTTGTCACATTAATTATTCAATAATTATATTCAGAATCATCAAAGTATGTCTTAAGATTAAAGCAAAACATCATTTTTAGAAATCCTGCTTTGGCACAACAAGTGAAATTTGAAATGTTGTTTTAGGACAGTGGCTTTTCGACATACCAGAGCAGTAGATCCACAGTTTAGCTGTTTTTTAATTGTAAGAAGTTTCATGATAAATGAAATTTGCAAATTTGCAAGGTATTGTATTAAAGTGGGGATAATTTTGGCGCATCAGTCGTTTCTTAAAGTAACCTAGGCAATTTTATCTGTGTGCAAAATTTAGAAATGTCATTCCTGTGGAAATGAGCAAACCATAAATATATCACAGAAAAGTCACTATTTTTCTGCCTCTAAGTTGTTTTATAGTTAAATTGTGTCAGAGAAATTGTCATTTATTTTATTCCTAAAAAGGTCTAATGGAGAATATATGACTTTCTTTGATGAAGAGATAATACTGCTAAACATAACGATAAACATAAAATGTAACTGTAATAATAATAAAGGCAAAGAGAAAAGGTATAGATACATCTGAATTTTCAAGACAGTAGTATCCTTTGTCACTAAGCAAATACTTCTTGACAGTGCTTGAAATTGCTCTTGAACTGGTAAAGCAAAATATAACTCTTTCCCCATAGTATTTGATGAGAAATAAATGGGCTACAATATCACTTGTCAGGTGGATATAAATCCCCTTCTTCTAAATAAGACTTTTCTTTGGGGAATTATATAAGACATTGGTTGCTTTTTGATTATTTTCTCTCTTTTATCGAATGCTTATAGAATAACCCAACTCTGTAGGCATATGAAGATTTGACTCCAAATTTATTGGTTAATAATAAATAAGCATATTGATGTTTTCATATACATATGTGTACCTGGCTACACATTTCTCTATTAACAGATAATTTTGAATGTATGTGTATACTCCTTTGATAATTTCAAGACCGTATGAATTTTTTATAAAACTTTAATGTCATTTTATACAATATGGATTTAATAAACCACTTATATGAAATCTAAAGTATTTTTAAAGATATAGAGCATTGTCATTTTGTGTGTGTGTGTGTGTTTTTAAACCAGTGTTTAATGTTCCTCTTCCCAAGTCCAAGTGATCTCATTGTTCAGTTCCCACCTATGAGGGAGAACATGCGGTGTTTGGTTTTCTGTTCTTGTGATAGTTTGCTAAGAATGATGGTTTCCAGCTGCATCCATGTCCCTACAAAGGACACAAACTCATCCTTTTTTATGGCTGCATAGTATTCCATGGTGTATATGTGCCACATTTTCTTAATCCAGTCTGCCACTGATGGACATTTGGGTTGATTCCAAGTCTTTGCTATTGTGAATAGTGCCACAATAAACACACGTGTGCATGTGTCTTTATAGCAGCATGATTTATAATCCTTTGGGTATATACCCAGTAATGGGATGGCTGGGTCGTATGGTACATCTAGTTCTAGATCCTTGAGGAATCACCATACTGTTTTCCATAATGGTTGAACTAGTTTACAATCCCACCAACAGTGTAAAAGTGTTCCTATTTCTCCACATCCTCTCCAGCACCTGTTGTTTCCTGACTTTTTAATGATTGCCATTCTAACTGGTGTGAGATGGTATCTCATTGTGGTTTTGATTTGCATTTCTCTGATGGCCAGTGATGATGAGCATTTTTTCATGTGTCTGTTGGCTGTATGAATGTCTTCTTTTGAGAAATGTCTGTTCATATCCTTTGCCCACTTTTTGATGGGGTTGTTTGTTTTTTTCTCGTAAATGTGTTTGAGTTCTTTGTAGGTTCTGGATATTAGCCCTTTGTCAGATGAGTAGATTGCAAAAATTTTCTCCCATTCTGTAGGTTGCCTGTTCACTCTGATGGTAGTTTCTTTTGCTGTGCAGAAGCTCTTTAGTTTGATGAGATCCCATTTGTCAATTTTGGCTTTTGCTGCCGTTGCTTTTGGTGTTTTAGACATGAAGTCTTTGCCCATGCCTATGTCCTGAATGGTACTA